ACGTCACATGCTCCCGGCCGCCATGGCGGCCGCGGGAATTCGATTTTTGCGCTCTCGGCCGAGGTACATTGGCGCTGGATTAGATGTGTTGATGTGGAGTAGGTGCAGACATGCCCAACCCTTATGGTGCTAACAGCGACTAGGCTAGCTCTGGTGGCGCTGGCGCGGGGCCCAAGATTGAAGAGGTATGATTAAGGGTAATTGAGGTGTCGCGCAGAAACCTAGAGCTGTCCTGTTTTGGGCTTTTGGTCTGTGTGTTGTGATTGAGTTCTGTTTGATAGTAAGACGTGTCGAGAGAAAGATGTATAGCTATAATATAATAGCTGAGATGAAATAATCGTCAAGTGTGCAGTATTTTCTTTTTCTCATCATGTTTATCTGATTAGTACGTGCCCGGACGTCCGATTTTATCTATAGATCCTTACCCTTATAGATAATTAACGCCTAAAATATATTAGGAATGTATTAGGAATAGGTTGCAATATACCTACTACACTTCTTTATCTAGCTTAACTATAGCTTAACTATAGAATATAAAGCAGGACTACTGAGCGAAGATTTAATATCTCCCTAGTTAGAAGACCTTATAGATATATAGAGTCTACCTCTAGTAGTACCTAACTAAAATAATATTTTTTCCTAGTAGTAGATATTAGGCTATAGTTCTAATAGCTAATATATAGTTAAGCCTATTCTATAATTTACTAACTTATTATTAATATATTTTAAATATATTTAAGTTTTACTCCCTACTTAATTTACTATAGTCCTTATTATAGGATAATAAGATACCTAGTAGTCCTTATAAATCCTTAAAGAGAAGCACTTAATAAGGCTATAATAATAGCTTCTTATTTATAGTTCTCTTTATAGAATTTTCTTAGGTACTATACTTTTTAAGGTTTAGATCTAATTATATAATATATTATTAATAATATAATAAGAACATGTTTATAATATATTCTTAAGATACTTACACGCTTTTACCCTAGAGTATTAGTATTTATACTAGCTTGCTAGCTAGCTATTAAAGAATAGTAAAGTTGTAGGCCTGTTAAGATAGATAGACTAGTAGGAGTATTATACCTACTAGAATTAGAATAATTTAAGAACGTGTTCTTAACATATTACCTATATAGCCTATATAAGCACCTCTTCTCTTATTAGGTAAGAGCTATCTTTATATTACTAAACTAGTATTATATACCTATACCCTTAGCTATATAATTAAGGGTATACTAGGAGAATAGCTGTATGCTTAATAATTGCTAGTGTAAGTAGTAGTCCTTAACTATTACTATAAGTAAGGTATATATTATGCCCTTATAACATATTACTAACTTATTCTAAACTTATTCTATTTACTTTTACTTACTTCCTTAATACTACTACTACTATCCTCCTCTAGCACTTTATATAGTTACCTAAATTTATCTCTAATATTACTATCTAGTTTAGATATATTATCTAGTACTACTATACTAAACTCTAGTATAGTATTTAGGAATACCTATATATTATTAAGAATAGGTTTAGAATATATTTAAAAAAGATAGTAATAAAAACTACGTTTACTTGCTTAAATTACCCTAATTTATACTTAACTATAGGCTAGTTTATATAACTATAAAAATTTGCTGCTGTGACGTGGACTTGAACCTACAGGGATATTCTAACCACTCGGAGTAAAGCCCAAGTCGCCTGACGCTAAACCCATGGTCATATGACATGCCACCACCTAGCTGCTTTTCCCTTCGGCAATAAGCCAATGATGAGTTCACATGATGATCAATCCCATGCGCGACTCTTTTTCAGTCACCGTATTGAACTTTACCTCAGTCCACTGATTCATGGATTTGTTTCAACTAGAAGTAGGGCTTTGCAGCAAGAGCTCTGCAGCACTGGCAACATGCCGCACTCTCAGAATCAGAAATTAGTACGTATGGGCAAACAAAGTGTAATTATATACAATAATCTCGGGAAGTTGACAAAGCTACGAGTCCTGGTAGCGGACTGAAAAATGCAAATGAGGGTACAGGCGCCATGACAACATTGCAAGCGCTGCTCAGCGCGCCTACCACTACGGTACAAAACCGGTTTACAGTAGCCATATTTATCTAAAGTAGACTAAGAAGTGGTTTAGGTAGAAGAAGTAAACCTAAATAGGGTTTATTATACTATATATTCC